AGCAGCTCTGCCAGGCATTTTGCATTTCCGGCCAAGCAGCAGGAGGACGGAGTCGGAATAAAAGCAACACCATTTTTACCCTCTTGGGTTTCACCCTGTTGGGCCTACAGCTCAGTTGGAGAACTCTCTCCCCTTCAGAGTTTTGGCTCCTGGGACCCAACTAAATGGGAATTCTCACAGGTTCTTTTCACAGGCTGTTGTCTTTGCCTGGAAAGCTCCTTTCCCTTTTCTCCCTCAGGAAAGCTCTGCAGTGTCTTTCAGCCCCAGTTCAGCCATCACCACCTTTGGAAAATCTTTCTAGACTCCCTAGAATTAACCATTTTCTCCTCTGAGAAATTTCTCCTCATCCTACTCCTATTTCTAATGTTGGTTCTTACTGCTCTATGTTCTGAGTCATTTTTTAATGACCCCTGGTACACTGTGAGCTTTCTAAGGCCTGAACGTTTATTGCCGTTTCACTGTCTTCCAGTGCAGTGGCTGGCAAAAGTGTACACTCAATAAATGTTTCTTGAATTTGTTTACTTTTAGTTTACCCTCTCTCCACTTCTATTTGGCGTCTTTTTATCTGGTATGGGAAATTCATTAAGCTCATTAGAATTGTGTGTAGGGGCACCTGGGTGGCTCAGAAGGTTAAACTTCCAACTTCGGTTCAGGTCACAATCTCACAGTTTGTGGGTTCCAGCGTACATCGGGTTCTGTGCTGACAGCTCAGAGCCTGGAGCCTGCTTTGGATTCTGTGTCTCCCTCGCTCTGTACCCCTCCCCTGCTCGTGCTCTCTCTCAAAAATAAAAATAATAAAAACATTTCTAAAAAATTTTTAAAAGGGCACCTGGGGGCTCAGTTGGCTAAATGACCAACTCTTGGCTTCGCTCAGGTCATGGTCTCACAGTTTATGAGTTCGAGTCCCACATCAGGCTCCTCAGCTGGTGGCATGGCAACTGCTCTCTCCCACTCTCTCTCCCACTCTGTCTGCCCTTCCCCCTCTCGCTGTCTCTGTCTCTCTCAAAATAAATAAACTTAAAAAAAAAAAAAAAAGAATTGCGTGTAAACTAAGCAGGTGACAAGCAAGGGCCTAAGAGATTTTTCTGGGTAATGAACATTCGTGCATGGACTTTATATATCTTTGGTGTTTTTAAAGCTTCTGTTTTCTACTTTTTGCCTGTATTCTGGCAGAAGTTGCCAGAAAGCTTGGTTCCAAATAGTTTAGAACTCATCACTGTACACAAAATTAAAAGGCCTTAGCTGTCCTCTGAAGGAATTTACAACTTGAAACAGGGAAATAGCCATGTCAAGTTTTCAAAAGTAGAGAATAATATTCAAGAATGATACCTCCTGATTAAATGTGGGGTTTAGAGGGATTATTAATTGGAAAGCAGTAGGAATAATTTTCAAAATGTTGATATGTTGACCCCAATAAACCCTCTTATGGGATGTTAAAGATATGTGCAAATGAATATCCTTTTAGTAAGCTACTGCTTTCATGCTTGTCTCTAACAATTTGGGGATTGAGATCTTCTTCTTGGTCCATATAAACAAAACTTAGGTTTCTAGTAGGAACACAAGCCAGTCACCTGCGGTACAATTTTAGATTGAAGAAGCTACTTGCCTGTTGCCCGGATTAGTGACAGTCATCAAGTGGAGGTTGCCTACTTGATCTTGTGGCATCAAAAATTCTAATATGACAGCGGGATTAGAAAGTACAGAAGGAAATTCCAAAGTTTTAGACGTGAGAAAAAATGATGTTTTTTCCTTCTGAAACACTGGGGTCTCCCCAGTGGAGTCAGGTGAGGCAGGTCAGGACACAGGAGCAAGTGCACTTGTGTGGCCCCACAGTGACTGGAGATTGTAGGTGAGGGGGTGTGTCTGAGGCACTGAACTCATGGTCCACCCAGTAAAGTCTTAAGATTTAGGTGATCACAGTATGGTTTAGGGAGCACACCTGGAACAGACCTTTACTTTCAACTCTACAAAGTTAGAATTTGTGAGAATTTATACAGGAGAGGCTTTTAGCTCACCATTGCTCCACAGGTGGAGGAAAAATTGCCAACAATATCAAAAAAGATGTAAACAATAACCAATTTAACAAAACACATTCAAAAAATAAAGTTAGCATTTTGGTTACTATAGTATAATACTAATTTTGGCAAACCAGACAACACTACCTGAATTGGAATTGAGTAAAGTCCCCCCTTTTTCCCTGCCAAAAAACTCCAAACAAAAAGTTTAGGAACCATCTTAATAACATTTTTATGCATTTTTCTCCATCTATTTAAAATGGCTTTTTGTACCTTTTATGATGATATTGTGTAAGATTTTGGATCCTGCTTTTAGTATGTATTATAAGCATTTCCTAAGAGATTTTTTAAAAAGGAAGGGATGGCATTTGTGTTTTTAGAAAGAAAACCCTAGGTGTGGACATTGTGCTAGTTCTTAGCTTTGAAAGTTCTTGTAGACTAGCTGACACTGGTAATGGCATGATGTATGCCCAGGTATGTGGTCAGTCATTTAGCAATCGCTGAGCTCCTACTGGGCACTGGGCCCTGGAAGTGGCTGGAAGGTACAGGATGAAAACAACACAGTCCTTTCCTCCCAGAGTCAACCTTCTGGTGGGAACATAAACCAATATGCACAGACAGACCTGACAATAGGTTAGGGCCTGACTTCGAAAGTCCTTGACACAACTTTTTTTTACATTTTTGTCAATTGATTAACACAGATCTTATTATTTTTTTAATGTTTATTTATTTTTGAGAGAGAGACAGAATGCGAGTGGGTTAGGGGCAGAGAGAGAGGGAGACACAGAAGCAGAAGCAGAAGCAGGCTCTAGGCTCTGAGCTGTCAGCACAGAGCCCAATGCGGGGCTCAAATTCACAAACCATGAGATCATGACCTGAGCCGAAGTCGGATGCTCAACTGACTAAGCCACCCAGGCGCCCCAAAATTTTTTAAAACATTTATTTATTTTTGAGACAGAGAGAGACAGAATGCGAGCAGGGGAGGGGCAGAGAGAAAGGGAGACACAGAATCTGAAGCAGGCTCCAGGTTCTGAGCTGTCAGCACAGAGCCCGATGCGGGCCTCAAACCCATGAACCCTAAGATCATGACCTGAGCCAAAGTCAGACACTTAACTGACTGAGCCACCCAGGCGCCCCTGGGAACTTTACAGTTGAAGCGATGGAGTGTGTACATGTGGGGCAGGGAGAGGTTGTTGGGGGTGGAAACAATAGAAATCAGCCTGTACTAGCTCTACATTCTGGACAGATGGTGGTGCCACTACAGGAAATGAGGAAATGCAGACTTTAGGAAATGAAAGTGGGCCAGGGTGCCCACCCCTGGCCTCCTCCCCTGCCTGGCCAAGTGGTATTCCCCTCTGAAGATCCAGCTCCTCTAGGAGTCTTTCCTCCCCGGCTGCAGGGGCTGCTGCTGCTTCTCCTGCTGCAATCTAGCAAAGCCCTAAGCTCACCTTCACAACACTTCCCATGTGGTGCTGTAATTGCCCATCTCTCCTACTTGGGCTAGAGGAAGCCAAAGATCTGACCTGCCCAGGGCGGGAAAAGACTGTGAGACTCACATCACAGAGGCCCTGGAATCTCTACGTTTAAGGAGGACTAAGGCTCAGGGAGGGAGGGTGCAGTGGAAGAGGAAGAGGTGCCCCTTGAGAGCACCATACACAGTGCCTCAGGGCTTGCAAAGTGATGTATTAAGATCTCTATCTCTTTTGTTAAGAAGTTCAAAATAACCAGAATTATGGTGAGTAGCAGGAAGACTCCACCCCCATTCTATATGGTTCCAAGATTTGGGTTATACACAGTAACTAGATCATTTTCTTTTATTTATACACGAGTATATTTTATAATTAGAACTACTTTAATTTTCTCTCTCACATACACACACACACATATATACATCTCACCCCCCACCCAAGTAACAGCGTAGAAATATGTATAAGTTTGGAACCACAGGAATACTTGGTTCAAATTCTGAATATGCCACTTTTAAGTCATGCAACCTCCAGGACCTACTTAACATCACTGTGCAACTCCTCTGCTATGAACTGGAAAGAATTTTAAGTAACTCATACAATTGTAAGGATTAAATAAGATAGTATTTGTGGAAACCGCCTTGCGATCTTTATGTAGAGAATGTTTAATTTGATATTTTTACATGGATGTAGATACAGGACTACTTAAATTGTGTTCCAAAGAAACTACATTTAAAATTGGCTTTAAGTGAACCTTTTTGAAAAAAAATTGATATAATTGACATATAACATTATATTAATATCAGATGTACATGATTCAATATCTACACTTGTAAAATGATCACAGGAAGTCTACTTATCTATTACCATACATAATTATAAAATTTTTTATTCTCATAAGAACTTTTAAGATTTGCTCTTGGCAACTTTCAAATATACAATATAATGTTATTAACTATAGTCACCTTGCTGTATAGGACATCTTCATTTCATTTTATAATGAAGTTTGTACCTTCTGACTTCTTTTAACCATTTTTCCCACTTTGACACCCCACTTCTGGCAACCACCAATCTGTTCTCTGTATTCTAGGACCTTTTTTTTTTTAAGATTTCATATGTTCATGAGTTCATATGGTATTTGTTTTTCTCTGACTTATTTCACTTAGCATAATGCCTTCCAGTTCCATCCATGTTGTTGCAAAGGGCAAGATTTCCTTCTTTTTTGTGGCTGAATAATATTCCATTGCATAATACACCACAATTTCTTTATCCATTCATCTGTGGATGGACACTGAAGTTGTTTCCAAAACCGTTTTCTTATTAGAGATTTTATTTTTTTAAGTAATCTCTACACCCAACGTGGGCCTCAAACTCACAACCCCAAGATCAGGAGTTGCATGTGCCACTACCTGGGCCAGCCAGGGACCACCCCCTCACCAGCTGTTTTCTTAAACATTAGTCCTATCTTCTCACAGTTCTAAGTCTCAAAGCCATTCAAATGAAACAATGTGCAATAGGATTACTCTTAATAATTATGAACATTTATTAAGCACCAAGAGTATACTGCAATGGTTGCTATACAAAAACATAATTAACAATATAGTGTCCCTGCCATCGAGCTTACATTCTAAAATGAAATACAACAATAATGTTGTAAGCCTACCTCAAAATTTCCTTAACTTAGAAATGGCTATTTTGGCAAGTGAGGCAAAATGACCTATCATTTTAGGTACAATATTAATAAGGCTTTGAACATGATCCAAAGAATGTTTTACTTGTACCCAGACATTTCCCCCAATTATGTTAGGCTTGGTATGAAAAAGAGCACTTAGAAATTGGGTAAGAACAATGAATTATTTCAAATTGCCTTGTAGGACTTTAAACAGAGAAATGCTTACTAGCCTGAGTTTTTCCACAGCCAGGGAAAACCCCATGAAAAGTATTATGAACTCAACCAAGTCTTCTATTCCACTTGCAACTTTTCGACTTCCTCTTCCTTTCCCACAGGTAAGGGCTCCAATGATGTCCCTTATCAAGGAAGGAAGTATTGCATCTAGACAAAATACCCTTAGAGTACTAAAACTTCCAGGAAATACCAATTCTTATTTTAAAAGAGTGAGCAAAGACAGTAGTGGGACATCTGGCTACAGGAGAGGCCTGGCTGTGTAAGATATGTAAACAAGCTGAGCTGAATTCATGCATCTTCAAAATGATTAAGACTATGGGTAAATGGTTGCTCTTCTGTTCCTTATTTCTGCCGTAGGGGTATTTGAGAATTTAGCATCAAGACCCCAAACTGCCAAAGCCTGTACTATTTGGCCTATATCCATAGTATAGTATTTAATAAATACTTTCAAGGTTTTCCTTGCTGGTTACATATTAGCTGATGAAGGCACACAGAGGGATTTTGATTCTTACTGTCCAATGCAAAGACTGTTTTAAACTGAGTATATACAGTCTTAAACTATATATTGTTTATTTTCAATCATTGATAATTCTTTGAACTCTAAAAGAACACTAAAAAATAATTGGTTATAAGTTATCTGAAAACCAAGATAGAATTTACTCTTGTAAAGTGCATGCACAAACTTTTAAAAAATACATGCATACAAATACTTTAATGGCAGAGTGAGAAGCATCCTGAGGTGTTTTTTTTTTTTTAATGGCAAAACAGTATTTCAGCAATTTTTTAAAAAACCAATACTTTCCTCCTTAGAAGTCTGTCTTGGGAACTTACTTTTAAATGAAAAATAGCAGCAGCAACATTTAACAATTGCTCACAAAATTTGCATTGCAAACAAGTTTGCCAAGAAAGAATGGTCTAGAAACTTTAGGATAAACTTTTAAAAAACATTTTATAAAGTAGAATGATTCACTACTTTTGATCTAAAATTGACATTTAAACATCCCCTTCCAATTTAAAAATGTCATTTTTACCTCCTACTTAAATAAAATCCAATTATGAGATTTGAAATGAAAAACTTGAAACACATATCAATATCATTCTTTTAATAAGATGACAAAAATTAATTTCAATGTGTTTCCCAAAAAAAGGAGAGGAAAAAAAAAATCTCAGTGGTGGCAAATGAATTTGGGTTTACAAATCTCAATGCACTCATTTTTGGTATTGCACGAAAACAGCTAGGATTCCTGAATTAAGTATGTTTCTAAGGCAAGGCAAGTTTGATTATGTATGAAGCACAGATATTAGTCAGCATGGTTATAAAGGCAAGAAGACCAATACATATAAATTCACTTGTTTTTAAGCGATACATTCTAAGCTACATAAAATTTAATTTTGTGTCCTATTCTAAGACTACATCTTTGACCTTAAGCTTAGAAGCATAATTGCTGTAATCCATTAAAAAATACTTCATTTTTTCCAATATTGTAAAGTGTACTGAATTTTCAAATGTCTAGTATAAATTTTTTTTGCAAAAAATTTAAAAAGGCATACTATTAGCTAGCTATAACTACTATGTTAAGTAACTGTATGAAGGAAGAGTTTCACAAGGAGAACAAAATATAAAACTAAGCATAGTAATTATTGAATTTAACAAAAAATGAAATCAAGTAGTTTTGAATGCACTTGTTTCTTGTCTTAGTAATGTGTATATTCATTTTATAACTACTAGTTTGATAAACATACTAACATTCTACAAGATTTGTTTTTCTTGGTTGGTTATTTTTCTTCCTTATATCCTCCCTAACAGCTGTTGGAATTTATTTTCTTTCAAATACAAAGTAAAATAATGTTTCTATTGTATCTGAGTCATGTGAAAGCTGACTCCCTATTTTCATTTTTAAAAGTTAAATTAATTTTTTTGGACCTTGATTAACATGTAACATTTAACCATGTGTTTTTGCTGTTAAGTATAGTCTACATTTCAACAAACTGATAGGGTATTTAACAAAAGCATCATGATCTCATCTGTGTTTTAAATATGATTACACAAGCTTTTTTTCTTTTTTAATGAGAAAAAGGAGATAAAGAAAACCATTCATATAGGCCCTCTTCACGCTCAATTATTTTGAGATACAGCTTTAAACAGGGTGGACCAAGTCAAGTAATGTTGGTAATCTCTTTTCTTTGCACAGAAGAGAAAAAACAAAAGAAAGGAAGTTATTTCCTTCCTAAGGTCTCAGCTAGTTTCTTAAGTCTTTTCTTCAGCTCCAACGGAAATTTCTCATAGCACTTCTTACAGACTGGCTTCATGTCAAACTCCACAAATTTATTCCTAAAGACAGTAACAATAATAAAAGAAATCAGTAGAAAGGTATTTAATACAGATATATAAATAATGTGAGGTAATTTTACTGAAGTAAATGAAGATGCAATATGGTGACATTAATATTCATAGCAAAAAATGAATTCTAATCTTAATTCTTGTCATTGTGGAGATGTAAAAAAATTATAATACCATTGGGAAAAAAATTGTCCTTATAAATTGATCTTATACATCTCTCTGTTTAATACAGAATGTACATTACATTTTAGTCCGTGCTCACATGTATACAGGAAATCTAATGTCAATATAATTTAGGTAAGTAAAGTCAATCACATGTTAATGTACCACAAGAACACTTTAAAGAACAGTTATTAAAAGCCAGGAGTTGTATTTTTGTAATGTGAATGACTTTCTCTTTGTTGAAGGCAATATCATTGTACTTAATATTTTAAATTAGGGAGCTATAGGTTTTATCTTTCCTTGCATGAAATGATTTGCCTCCTACCTCCAGCACCAAAAAAATTATCTTCAAAAAAATCTGAAATCATAAAAATCTGAAATGGTTTTTTGGTTGGTTGTCTGACAGAAAAGTTGGTAGGGGAGATATAAGAATGTTTTTAGTCACTCTTAAAAAACAGAAATGAAATAGATTGCCTGTGGTTCCATTTTGTGAATAGTTAGCTGTATGGAGAACTCAATGTTTTAAAAGCTAGAGCAATACACATTATCTATCAATTTGTTTGTAAAACAGTTCTGGAGAGCACAGGTTTCTAGACAGCCTCCTAAGTATCTGTCATGCATTTCCACTTGGTAATACCATTACAATCGCTCATTACTGTTGAAATTGAGGGTCCTAAACTGTGAACTGAGTATATGCACAACCTTGTAACTTTTGCATTTTCCTAACTTGTATTTAGGCAGCATTTCTGGAACAAATTTAGTGGTACTTTGTTATCTATGACAAATGATTAAATCAGGTGATGTAATTTTAAAGAATAAGGTTAATAACAAAGTTAATTCCTACTATATTTAAAATGAAAAATCTTTTATTTTACAGCATTACATGGAAATTATTCTCTATTTTTCACAGAGCTCTTGATGCTGATAGAAATTCAAATGATCTTATTTTTCCATTGACAATTTGATTTAAATAGTACTAATGAGTTACAATATTCTCCCAAAGACTTCTTAGAACAAAAGCTATTAAAACTGCCATTTTTTTTAATGAGGGAAATAAATTATCATTGCTTTCAGAGATACTGCTAAGCAAACCTTCAATTGTTTTAATTTATATTTGAATTTTAATTCCTCTTTATAGAAGGAAACATGAGAACTGGAACAATAAAAAACTTTCATTGGAGTGCAGAACACAGTGATAACCATGAAGAAAAAAGGACAATCATGCTAGGAATTCAACAGAATTTCAAAGATTGAAATATTTCCCATAAAAATCAGGAATAAAGTAAGTAGGCTTTGAAAACATCAAGAAAATGAATCCATAAACAGTAGCATATGGGTACTCTGTGAAAGCAGATTACATACACCAAAGACATTAGAGCTCTTATTATGTACAGTAGATGGTCTTTGCTTAGATATGAAACATGCTGAAAGGATTTAACTTAATGCAGAACTTAGAACATGTGATGACTGGAGTTTATCAATTAAATCATTTTAGGCAAAGAAACTGAAAACCAGGATTTTAAAAGCTGCAATTATCAGAGAAAAATACTTTAAAACTTTCCCTAATATCTACTAAATAGAGATTGGAATTCTTCCCTTTGAATCTACTTAAAAAAAAAAAGAAGAATCTTAGTAATTACCCAAAAGGCCCAGCTCTACAGAGGACAACTACTTGTATTTCCATCTCTGGCGGCTACAAACACATGCCAAAAGGAAGAGACAACAAAAAAGCAAGAGACAAAAAGAGAACAAAACACATTCTAAAGGACTAACCAAAGAAGAAAGTAGTGAAAATGATGATAGAAGGGACAGAAAAGTTTACAAACAGACTGGCTTTTTCTTTTTCTGCTTGTCCTTATCCTTTGCTTCTCTCTCCCGTTTGGCAAGTCGCCTCTTAAATTCTTCTGGCATTTTTTCATAACAGTGTTTGCAGACTGGTTTGAGATCAATTTCAACAAACTTATCCCTTTGAGCAGGACAAAGAAGGAATAGAAGAAACAACATAAAACAATTAAAGGAAGAACCTTTACATTCAGAGACCTAAATAGAAAGAATAAGGAATCAGATAATTATTTTTAAAAATACTCTATTTAAAAAAATGTTAACCTAAAGTTTTGGTCTTAGGATTCACACGGGACTAAACCGCAGACTTACTTGAGTGTTAATTTAGTGTTGCAGGTAGAACAGGCAAAACAGTTCACACACCAGGCCTTATTCAGAGCAGAGACCACTGGAGAAAGAGCAAAGACACATGGTCACACACTTTGGCGTTCAAAGTGGCAGAGCTGACATCCTCAACTCAAACAGAGCTAAGGGTGCCTCCACAACACTTAGAAGAGGTTCTGAGAGGCTTTTTTGCAAAAGAATTCACAGGACTAATTTACTGAATCAATCCAATTAATAAATTAATTAAAGGCTATTTTTTCACATTATTAAAAAAACTGAGCACTTAATGTCTTCCGTGACTGTAGGGTTCATCTTAAGGAAGATTACCATTGCCTTTTTCAATCTTTATTTATAGTTAAAACTTTTCTTCTTCCCTTTAGAGTATCCTGTGAGGCACATAAACAGTATGTACCATACCTTCCCGCCAAAGCCTGCCCTCTCACTCTGTGCATGGTGCAGTGTGTATTTAACATGCATTACGTCACTCAGATGAGCTTTTCTGGCACAGGCCCTGCCTACCAGCACAGTCTCCACTACCACTGGCCCAACAAAGAAATATAGACTAGATAAGTAATTAAAAAACAATCCAGACGTTAACTTATTTGCCTGTCTTCCATAGCTGACAAAAAGGAGAGCTTCCTTTGACAGCTTCTTTCACCTGACCACTATGTCACATAGGAGGGAGCTAAGTTTTATTTTCTATGGCACTAAAGATTGCTCTCCTGAAGTAATCCTTTTGCAAACTGCATCATGGGCAGTGTTTCACAAAGTATTTCCCAGGTTGGGTTTTCTGACGAGAAACACGAAGCATGTTGAAAACAGGAATGTTTAAAACTTTGCCAGAAAGTTTCTGGCAAAACTGTGCTAGTGGCTATTAGCAAACACAGCTGCTTCCTTTCTGTCCCAGTTAATCAGCCCTGCCTACTTATAATACAAGGCTGGTAAGTGCTAGAAATGTCTACAGAAAACTGCCAGGTTTTAGCATCTGCAGGGTTAAAGTGACTCTCACTAACTACCAAGGCAGATTAAGCTGTTCCTAATAAACACTGCTCTACAGCTTCCAAGTTCTATAAATCCAGGGCATGGAAATAGAAACAGATCTCAAGGTTGGCCATGAATGGTTCACACAATACGTACTGTAACAAGCCTGAGGCACTGCCCTAAAGTATTGTCATAAAGGAGTAACAAATCCAACTTGTACGATATTATCATCTCTGCTATGAATTACTTGAGAAATATGCCAAAGAAAAAGTAACTGATAATGGTCAAATGACAAATAGTAATCAATCTCTTTCTGTTTTTGTGTCATAATTTTGACACAAAATTATGCCATATAAAATCCCTACAGATACTTACCATCACCTTCTATAACACGGTTACAGTGGAAACAAACATCACCAAATAGCTGAAAATGAAAAAAAAAAAAGTGGTAAAAATTCAAGACATGTTAGAACTAAGGTTTAGAACACCAAACATTTAACACAGTTTCAGTTCTATCACTTAAAAATAAACAGCTGGCTACCTAGATCCAGAATTTACCCTTATTAGAGAAAATGAGTAAAGTGCATTGACTAGTATTTACTTTTTACAATGAAGATAATTTACTTTTCATCACTATCAAAACCCAGAAAATGGCTTTGGAAATGTCCCAGATTTAAGGAGGCTAAAGGAAATGACAACCCTAGACTGGCTCTAGTACTGAAGTGGAAAAAAATGATTCAATGACATGGGTTCAAGTGACAAAATTGGAATAAATAAAGTATCATATCAATACTGATTAACTATGATTATGTGAGACCACTCCATATTCTTGGGAAATAAAAACTGAAGTATTTAGGGGTAAAGGGCCATGATGAACTTCTGAAATACTTCAGAAAAAAATGTGTGTATATATGAATACATACATTTGTATATGAAGATCTGTACATTTATTAAGTGTGTGTTTTTACAGAGAGTGGGCCAATGCAAATGATGAAGTAAAAGGTACATAGATATTCTTCATATTTTTATTTTACAACCTTTCTGTTGACTCTGAAGTTATTTCCCAAGTAAAACATTAAAAAGTAAAATCTATAGTCCAATGTACATTTTCCAAGATCTTTCCTTGTAGCTAAAATATTAAGCTCAAACTTATAAAAGTATATCTAGTATCCAATAAGTATGATCAATACCTGGTTATAGTGGGTTTCACAATATGCCAGGCCTTTCCTTTCATAATGTCGATGTCCAAGAAATGGCTTTTCACACTTGGCGCAAACAAAATGCTGAAAAAAATTGCTAGAGGTAATTTTTGAGCTGCCATATTTTACTTATTTAATAAAGTAAAACCCCAAAGTTAAATTATTCTCAGAGAAGGTACATGAAAGTTTGAGGTAGTTATTTCATTTGGCCAGGGGTAACCTGGGACACTTTCAGTCTTAACTTAATTCAGGTGTCTTGAGTTTTTGACACGTTACTTTAAGACACAGCCTTTTTAAACAACACAGAATGAGAAAAGAGGTCAACATGTTAATATCATCTATAAGGGAGGGGCTGCTGCTGGAAATGGACCATGACACTCCTGCCTCGAGAAGGATTTAAGAACAAAAAAGCACACCCTATATCATTACTGAGAGATCACAAAAGTGTGTATATTCTGTATTCTTAATTTTCTACAACGTCATTTGTCTTGAAAATGTCCGTATTTAATCTTTAGAATTTCCTAATCTTGCCAGCACCTCTGAATGATGGAAATTCAAAAGTACTAGTTAACCCTTCCACCATTTACGACTCACCTCCACATGCCACTGCTTCCCCATAGCATTCACCACACGCCCTTCAATGGGCCGTCGACAAGCGCCACAGATGGGGACCCCCATTTTATCATGGCATGGCAGACAGTACAGCTCTCCTTTCAGCTCCCGGGCATCAGCAGTCAGCTCCTTCCTGTCCATGAGAAATATATCCAACTGAATACTACTACTGAGAGAGAAAAACAGGCAACTGAGGAGACTGACATACTTTTTAGCAGGTTTTTGAAGATCTCACTATAACAATCCCCATAACCTTCTTTTCCCCACTCTTAGTAGTGCTCACAGTAACCTAAATTAATAGGCTTGAACTGGTTTCAGATTCCTATCAAAACATCAATGTCAAGCAATAATGATAAAATGTACAAACAAATATATACCATCACATTGGTCATATTTATCACTTCCTTGTCTATGATCACATGATAGTCCTTTTGTCTTCCTGAAAAAGCTAGAGAAGAATCATCACAGTGCTTGGGACAGACTTGGAGATGTTATCTTTACAAAATAACTGAGGTCTAAAGTTAGAGATTAGCTCCATTTACTAACAATTATTTAAACTGTCACCAGCTTTTAAGTTACAGGTTAACAGAAAATAAAAGAAATGCCCAGAACCTTCCTTCCCACAAATGCTTAAGTTCACTATTCTTTTCAGTCTCCTGCATCAATATTAACATTTAGGCAGAGGTGGCCCTAATTAGCCAAATGGACTTGTTTACATTTCATCTGTTTTAAGTAATTCTCCAGAAGTACTAATGACAAATGAACAGAGAAAAATTCCACCAAAGGGAAATAGGCAAGAAAATGAAATAAGGTACAAACTGATAATCCCAAAATAAATGAGGTGGCTATACTCATAGCACAAAGCTGTTTTCTTGATCTTTAGCTTACCTTATCTCTGTCCACCCCCACGATAATTTAGCATGTATGTTCAAACTGAATATAGTAAAGTAACTTTTCCCGTTAAATTTTTAGATAGCAAATTTAAAAAATCATAGCTGAACAATTTATGAGTCTTTGAAGAAAAAAAATCCCTTTAGAAGTAAATAAAATTAAATAAATGTAGTTTAAGATATTTTAAGATAATACCCTAAGTATTACAACTGTAAAAGTTATATATGTACAAAGAGAAGACTTTTTAAAGGTTTTTTTTTTTTTTAAAATCCTGTATTGAAAAAGCACAGTGATCAAAACAGTTTTTGGGATAACTGAATTTTACCACTAACTGAATACTAAAGGTATATGTATATATGTTATATGTACACACACACAGGGTGTGGGGAGAGTGTGCTGCACACACTCAAATGTGGCAAAATGTTAAGTGATGAAACTCAATGATGGGTATGTAGGTATTCTTTGTATTAGTCTCTTGACTTCTATATAGGTTTAAAATGTTCCAGATTACAAGGTGGAGAAAAACAATCTGGTGTGCTGGAGTAAAAGATACAGAAAAAAAGTGATGTTTTACTTTATTTCCACGATTTGTGCAATAAAAAGGGAAGAAATTGCAATACCCGCAGTTGGCACAGTTGAAATGGTCTGGATGGTAAGGGTCATTCTTGAATATCAGCGGTTGCTCATCGATGATGGCGTGGCATTTCTGGCAGATGTATTTTCCAAGGCCTCTGGCTTTCTCACGATTATGACAGGGGCGACATAGATGTCTAAACAGAGCCAACACTTTTTTAGAAACTTAAGTTTAAAATCTGAGGTTCTAATAGTTAAAAAGAAATATGCTTCTCATGTCTCTGAAAAGAAGTGAATAATTTAAAAAAAAAAATCACACTTGGCTTAACAGCAGAATCAAGCCACTGTTTTTTACATGAAAATTTATTTATTCCAACCCAAGTAATCCAACTGATCTTTAAGAAACTCCATCTTAACTACGTATCTCCCTTTTGTTGGCCCAGGGACACAAATTCTAGGGTCCTCTCCTAACAGCCGCCAGATGAGCCAATATAGGCTGCAGTCCCCATACCTTAAACTCAGTGCCTGAAAGCACCTCCTCACAGCCCTAGGGGAAAACAAGCATGACCTTGCAGTAGTTACTTCTCCACCCACACCTAACAAGGATGGAAAACTCCTACCTCCCAGCATTCTTGACAAATCCAATATCTGCCAGAACTTCCTGGCAGAGGTCACAGCGGAAGCACTCAGGATGCCAGCTGTTATTCATGGCTTTGATAACTCGGCCAATGATGAATTCACCTGTGGGAAAGGAACACACAAAGGATGTCCAGGGTGCGTCTTATTGCTGAAAGCAGTAAGGCAAAAGACGCAAGGAAAAAGAACACATTTAAACCTTTCTCCACAACTAGGGACTTTCTACATACATATCGACCACAGTAAGCACTGCATTAGGAAAAAACTCTATTTCATCTGAGTCCTTAGTTTTGATTCTGTGGTCAAATTTTTGGGCTGTCTTATCACATCTCTGAATCTGATTTTCCTTTTCTCAACGATACACTGGGCTCTCTCAAATGCCTTTTGTTTATTTCTGGTCATTGCTGACACAGCACATTTTCTTGAAGCCTATACTTAATTTCTTCTTTCACTAAACTTTAGAACATTCTACTCAGTTTCTCCAATTTCTGGAAACTCTCTAGTAAAGCTGCTAGCAACCCATGAGGTGGCTAAAATGCAAGCAAGTTAAACACTTGTGTTACACACAGCAATCCTTAAGCATGTGAAGCACCCCTCCAATGTTTTCCCTGTCTCTCTCTTGGCAACCTCAAAAGCGAGTAAAGGCTGAATTAACAGGGGACAAGAATATTCCAAAGGATCATCTAATAAAAGTCCTAATCAATCCCCAGGAAACTTTACACTAGATGTCCTTAAAAAACATTTCTCTCTGGGTTTTGATACTCTTCCAGTTTGTTACATATTAATGATAAGGAAAAGGATGTATAAAGTACCTGAATGCTATTTATAATGAGCACTAAACACCATTTCCACCATTGACATAATTTTGAGACTCACTTTTTACTCTGCTATTCAGCAGTAAAACTTACCACACTGATGACAGCAAGGAGCAAAGAGCATCTGAAAGTCATGTTCACAGTACTTCCTTCCTTCAAACTGAAATAGAAAGTACCATCAGCTTGTACAGATGAAACAATCACAGGATGAATATAATTATTCTGTGGAGACATATGGAAAGATGTTTTTGAACTAAGAGCTCTGCCCTAAGAATTATAATTCTACTGAGATGTTTAAAAGCAGATGTACTTTTGTACTTTCCCTACACCTACCTGCATGTGGGTACAGGAAAGATATACTCAACAACTGGTACTATGGCTCCAGAGTACAGTGAACTCCCTGTAACAATGATGAACTATTTTCCGGCTTGCAGACTCACCTTTAGGAGTCTAATGAGAGCGGTGGACTCCTCTCCCTAGAAAATACACATATATACACAAACCGTTTCCCACTTTTTTTACGTTGATATCTGAAATGTTGTATTATAAACTTAAATATTTACAAAGGGTAGATAGTCTAGTATATTTTAGATCTAAACATTTTATTTTATTTTTTTTTTAATTTTTTTTTCAACGTTTATTTATTTTTGGGACAGAGAGAGACAGAGCATGAATGGGGGAGGGGCAGAGAGAGAGGGAGACACAGAATCGGAAACAGGCTCCAGGCTCTGAGCCATCAGCCCAGAGCCTGGCGCGGGGCTCGAACTCACGGACCGCGAGATCTTGACCTGGCTGAAGTCGGACGCTTAACCGACTGCGCCACCCAGGCGCCCCTAGATCTAAACATTTTAAAATGAGGCCAAAACCCATTAAAAATATTCTGTTTTAGGGGCGTTTGGTTGGCTCAGTCGGTTAAGCGTCTGACTTTGGCTCAGGTCATGATCTCGCAGTTCATGGGTTTGAGCCCCACGTCGGGCTCTGTGCTTTGGATTATGTGTCTCCCCCTCTCTCTCTGCTCCTCCCCCATTCATGCTCTATCTCTCTCTGTCTCTCAAAAACTAAACGTTAAAAAAAAATTTTTTTAATTCTATTTTAATAGTTGGAAAATTCACATCCTCTACTTCTCTCCTTGAACTATTTCCATTTCATTTCCCACAAAGTTTTATCCTGGTATATTTTTTCCTAAATTCCATACTAAAGTCTTTAACAGATCACCCTACCATACTTCTCGGCAATTAAAATGTATATAACAAAACCTTAAAATTTGTTTTACTACCTGAACCCATGAACTCTAAAAGCTAAAAACATTCTTTTTATTCTGGATTAAGTTATCATTATAATTATTAGTACAGAAATAGTTAAAACATGAATATGTGTACAAATGTCAAATTTTACTTTCTATTTGTTTACTTAAAAAGCCTATCGTGGAGCACCTGGGTACCTCAATTGGTTAAGCACCAGACTTCGGCTCAGGTCATGATCTCACAGTTCATGAGTTGTAGCCCTGCATAGGGCTCTGTGCTAACAGCTCAGAGCCTGGAGCCTGCTTTGGATTCTGTGTCTCCCTCTCTCTGCCACACCACTGCTCATACTCTATCTCTCAAAAATAAATAAACATTAAAAAATTAAAAAAAAAAAGTGTCTCTTAATGAGATGAGCAGGGCTCCCCTTCCTCTCACAATTATTCCATGTATCCACAGATAAATAGGACTTACCAATGGAAGAGTTCAACATGAATTTCTATTTTGGGGGCTGCTTTTTACCCTCTTCACATAAATAAGTCGTGAGAATTATAGCATGTCTCCCTTTGAATCTTTGAACTCTTTACAATGTTCACATATTGCATATTGCTTGACTATCAAAATCCATTTTTAGTGATGTAGCAGTAGTCAACTAAATTTGGTCAATTGTGGAAATTAGCTGCAGATTTAGCTCAATTTATTGAACATATCCACTATAGCTTAATCTGCAGACCAGCCCAAGTAGATTTATTTTGTGCCAGAAAAAGGCTTACTTCATTTTGAAATTCAAATGGATGAACTCTAATACGTTTAATGAATCTGTTTTTTAAAAAAAATTTTAATTCATGTTTATTTTTGAGAGACAGAGCATGAGCAGGGAAGGGGCAGAGAGAGAGGGAGACACAGAATCCGAAATAGGCTCCAGGCTCTGAGCTGTCAGCACAGAGCCCAATGTGGGGTTCAAACTCATGAACCGTGAGATCATGACCTGAGCGGAAGTTGGACACCCACCTGGATGGGTGAGCCACCTAGGTTGGATGCCCCCGTTTTTTTTTAAATTTTTAAATTAATGCAATGAATCTGTTTTCAGAAGTTACAAACAGATAATCATAAATTGATATGCTATATTACCCAGTTCTCTGTCATAATGCACTGTGGGTAGCCCCAACCAGAAGTTATTTATGAAGTAAATATGTTCCTTTATTGGATGTTACAAACATATATAGAAATCAGATGTTTAGCTTTTAGCAGTAATTAAAAAAAGAAATCAAGGGGTGCCTGGGTGGTTCAGTCGGTTGGGTGACTGACTTCAGCTCAGGTCATGATCTCATGGTCTGTGGGTTCGAGCCCTGCGTTGGGCTTTGTGCTGACAGCTCAGAGCCTGGAGTCTGCTTTAGATTCTGTGTCTCCCTGTCTCTCTTCTCTTCTTCCCTTTGTGTTGTATCAAAAATAAACATTAAAAAATTAAAAAAAAAGAGAGAAATCAAATATAAAGACTCAGAAACAACTCCACTGATTTAGTTGGAACCGATAAACTTTTTTATCAGCTACCCGAGTCTTTTGTTTAATTTTTTTTTATATTTATTTATTTTTGAGACACAGAGTGAGACAGAGTACAAGCAGGGGAGGGGCAGAGAAAGAAGGAGACAAAGAATCTGAAGCAGGCTCCAGGCTCCAAGCAAGCGTTCAGTACAGAGCCTGATGTGGGGCTCAAACCTATGAACTGTGAGATCATGACCTGAGCCGAAGTCAGTCACTTAACCAACTGAGCCACCCAGGCGCCCCATCGGCTACCCTAGTCTTAATCCATGTTGAAAGACTGGGCTCAGAACTGTTGGTGTCAACTGGCCCTTTTTTTTAAAGATTTATTTTTTATTTTTTATTTATTTTTATTTTTGAAAGAGTGTGAGCAGGGGAAGGGCAGAGAAAGAGGGGAATAGAGGATTTAAAGCTGGCTCTGTGCTGACAGCAGCAAGCCTGATGCAGGTCTTGATCTCAAGAACCATGAGGTCATGACCTGAGCCAAAGTCAGATACTCAACCAACTGAACCACCCATGTGCCCCTGGCCATGTAGGTTTAATAGCAAAGACTGGTTAATGATAACAATGCATAACAACATTTTTAGTAGGAAAACAGAATGTTTTGTGTGCCACTTATGTGTGTGTGGCAGGTTTATTATAATTTTTAAAATCAGTTCTTTTTAATGGAAACAACCAAAAAAAAAATCTGTCACAGAATTTGGAGACCATTAAAACATAGTTTAATGAGAAAAAAAAAAAAAAAAAGAAACGTCCAACTTTTAGTTTGTATTTAATGAAAGAGAAAGACATATTGCTTAAGACAAAAACAAAATGAGTCCAGCAGTTAGCATATATACTATATTTGCTAGCAGAAGGTAGAAAAAAAAATAGGATTGGTTGCAATTTGAGTAAGTCTTTTAAGACGTGATTCAAATAGGTAGCATAGAGTGGAAGTTAAGAACACTGACCATGGATCCAGAATGCCTGAGTTTAAATTCTGGCTAAACCACTGACTGGCTGTGTGACCTGGGTCAAGCTGTTTAGCCTCTCAGTGCCTTGTGAGAGTCACAGACTTCTGTTTTGGCTCTGGCTCCTAACATATACGCATCATGTTCATAATTTCTTACCAATGCTCTATGCTTTGCTCTCACAGACATCTCCCTTTAAAAGGATAAATCCTGTGATATACATATACAATGAAATACCACTCAGCCATAAATAGGAAGGAAATCATGCTAGCTAGTTAGTTAGTTAGTTAGTTAGTTATTTTGAGAAAGAAGGGGAATGTAAGGGGCAGAGACAGGAGAGAAGGAGAATCCCAGACAGGCTCCTCACTGTCAGGGCAAAACCAGATATGGGGCTTAAACTCACAAACCATGAGATCAAGACTTAAGCTGAAGTTGGATGCTTAACTGAGCGACCCATATGCCCTGGAAATCCTGCTATTTGCAACAACATGGACAAACCTGGAGGGCATTATGCTGAAAGAATTAAGTCAGGCAGAGAAAGACAAATACCGTGTGATCTCACTTATGTGTGGAATCTAAAAATGCCAAACTCCTAGAAACAGAGTAGTCTGATAGTTACTGGGACCTGGAGGGATCAGGGAAATGGGGAAATATTGCTCAAGGGGTACAAACTTCCAGTTATAAAATGAGTAAATTCTGGGCATCTAAGATACAGCACAGTGATTACAGTTAACAACACTGTATTGCACACTTGAAGTCTGCTAAGACAGTAGATCTTAAATGTTCTCACCATACACACACACAAAAGGTAATTACATGAGGTAATGGATGTGCTAACCTTACTGTGGTTATCATTTCACAATATATACATATACATATGAAGTCATCATGTTGTACACCTTAAACTTAATGTTATCTGTCGACCATATTTTAATAAAACTGAAGAAAAAGGATGAGTCCTTTTGAAATTAAAGATAAAAAAAAGACAAAGTCTTAACAGGAAGTTGTCATGATTACTCCCTACATTTCCAAATCTGCTACAAATCTGAACCCAGAACAGCCAGCACAGTTCCTAAAGCTAGGCTTCATTCTTATCAGGAAAATACAGAAGGCAAGGTGCCTGGGTGGCTCAGTTGGTTGGGTGTCCAACTCTTGATTTCAGCTCAGGTCATGATCTCACAGTTCGTGGGATCAAGCCCTGCATCAGGCTCCATGCTAACAGTGTGGAGACTGCTTGGGATTCTCTTTTCCTCTGTCTCTGACCCTCACCCCACTTACGTGCACCCGTGCTCTCTCCCTCAAAATAAATCAGTAAAACCTTGGTTTGCAAGCATAATTCGTTCCAGAAACATGCTTGCATTCCAAAGCACTTGTATATCAAAGCACATTTGAAGAACCATTGGCTCAGGTGTGATCATGTGACATTTGGC